TGACACATTTTTTTTCTCATATGTAGATGCTAGATCCAAAATACAAACATACATAATAACATACACAAGGTTTTATGTACATAGACACAAACAAGCTGACTAAAAGATGGTATTTACTTAGGGAAAGAGTCCAAAAGTAGAACTCCTCTGAACAACGAATGAACTGTTTATCAAAATGAATACCAAGAAGTGGAAACATGTTTAGGGGAGAGGACAATAAGAGAGGCACATGAATGGAGGAAGGGTAAGCAAATGCAGTCATTGTATTCAATATATATTATGTAAAAAATGAACTGAATGAATAGTTATACCCTGATTCTGGAATTATAACCTCTTTGTATAACAATTTTATTACTAATAATTTTTTTAATTTAATTTTATTGTAAAGGTGATATACAGAGGAGTTACAGTTATGTAAGGTAATGAGTACTTTATTGTTGGGGGGGGGGGGTGGGGGTGAGGTTGGTTGTGGGACTTGAACTCTGGGCCTGGGCATTGACCCTGAGCTCTTCAGCTCAAGGCAGGAACTCTACCACTTGAGTCACAGCGCCACTTCCAGTTTTCTGGTAGTTAATTGGAAATAAAAAGAGTCTGACAGGGGCTGGGAAGGTGGCTCAAGTGGTAGAGCGCTAGCCTTGAGCTGAAGAGCGCCCAGGCCTAGAGTTCAGGCCCCACAACCGGACCCAAAAAAAAGAGCCTGACAGATTTTCCTGCTCCGGCTGGCTTTGAACTGTGATCCTCAGATCTCAGTCTCCTGAGTAGCTATGATTACAGGCATAAGCCACCGATCCCCGGTTACATTTCTTTTTGAACATTGTTATCTTCTGCTTTCTCACCCAAAAAAGAAAAAAGCCGGAAGTGGCGCTGTGGCTCAAGTGGTAGAGCACTAGCCTTGAGCTGAAGAGCGCCCAGGCCTAGAGTTCAGGCCCCACAACCGGACCCAAAAAAAAGAGCCTGACAGATTTTCCTGCTCCGGCTGGCTTTGAACTGTGATCCTCAGATCTCAGTCTCCTGAGTAGCTATGATTACAGGCATAAGCCACCGATCCCCGGTTACATTTCTTTTTGAACATTGTTATCTTCTGCTTTCTCACCCAAAAAAGAAAAAGAAAGGAAGTGGAGCTATGGCTCAAAATGGCAGAGCACTAGCCTTGAATGAAAAAGCTCAGGAACAACACCAAGCCCTGAGTTCAAGCCCTACAACTGACCAAAAAAAAAAAAAAGAAAAGAAAAAAAAGAGACAGAGAAACAGAAAAGGAAAGGAAGAAAGAAAAAAGAAAAATTGACACAGTAGATGGGCTCTGGTATCTTGAACCAAAAGACTTGGCTAAGGATAGCATATTAAATAAAAATAGAATGTTAAAGCCTCTACACTTAGTGGTGAATTCTATTGTCTAGTCTCATACCCCAGCTGACTGTTGGCAGCACAGTTTATAATCCTCAGGCAGAAAACTAGAGTATTTCTTCTCAAGGTAAAAGTGATTCCAGGGGAGGCAAAAGGCCATCGGGAAGACAATAACAGGACAGAGAAAGGAGCAATAGAGGAAAGAGAAAGGGAGAAGCAAAGACAGGAGAGGGCAGGGGAGAAAAGGAGAAAGGAAGGGAGAAGAAAGGAAGGGGAGGGGGAGGAGGGGAAGACAATAATAGAAAAAAAAATGAAGGTACCTTTCTCAATTATCCACCAAATAAAAGAGTAATCCCAGATCAAATTATGTGACTCAGGAATCAGTAGCTCCAACATTCTAAAGAGGTGGAGGAAATTCCCTAGGGTAGTGCTAAGTAAGGATCAAGGGATATAAGATAATAATTATGCTGCATAAAATCAAATGAGATTAGACAGAGAATTAGCAGAAGGATGAAGGACTCCCCAGTTAGATGTTTCCTTGGGACAAAAGAGAAACCAAGTTACCAGTCTCAACATGCAAAGAGGATACTACTGACAAAGATTTGGGGATGGATCACTACATATATTGAAATGTTCCAAATAAATGTTATAGCTGCTTATTATCACTAGGGGAAAATAGTTACACAAACTGTATTTAAGTTTTACAAGTAAAACTTAAAAAAAATTTTTTTTGGTCAGTCATGGGGCTTGAACTCTGAGCCAGGGTGTCATCCCTAAGCTCTTCACTTCAAGGCTGGCTCTACCACTTGAGCTACAGTGCCACATCCAGTTTTCTGAGTGATTTATTGGTGATAAGAATCTAACTGACTTTTCTGTCTGGGCTGGCTTTGAACTATGATCCCCAGATCTCAGACTCATTAGTAGCTAGGATTACAGGCATGAGCCACCAGCAACTGGCTAAAACTTTTAAATTAAGATTAAAATATTTCAAAAAAATTCCTAGCTTAGGGTTGAGATTCCTGAACCAGCAAACTGGTTTTAAAAAAAAAATTTACCTGGTGGCTAATGCCTGTAATCCTACCTACTCAGGAGGCTGAGATCTGAGGATCACTGTTCAAAGCCAGCACAGCCAGGAAAGTCATCAAATTCTTTATCTTCAATAAACCACTCAGAAAACCGGATGTGGCACTATGGTTCAAGTGGTAGAATGCTAGTCTTGAGCTGAAGAGCTGAGGGACAGCGCTCAGGCCTAGAGTTTAAGCCCCACGACTGACAAAAAAAAACAAACAAACAGTAGACTGTTATCAGAGCAGAAAGTCTGAGTAAGTGATGAGGAAGGTTGGTGAATTTATCAGTAATGACAAGATCCAGAATGTGACTACATCTAGGAAGCTGAAGAAAATGAAGTAAAGGAATCAAAACCAAAGTCTTCACTGAATTGGAAATTCAAATGCTGAATGGAGTTGTCTAAAACAATGTGTAGATGTGTTAGATATTTGCTAGGTCCACTTTTCTACCATCTTTTTGCTCAAATAGGCTGACCTGTACATATACAGCAACAGGTTGCCCAGGCTTCTGGTTGGTTTATCCAATAGGCAATCTCAGCAACAAACTAGGAGTCAAGGAATATAAAGTCTGGAAAATTCTTCGCTCTCTTCCTTCAGGACAACTTAAGTTAGCTGTGTCCTTCACCAGAAAAATCACCATTCATTGCCCTCAGGGTACCTTAATAGCCATTCTCTTTTATCCCTCCAGCCTAGGGATGTTAACGGTTTGACTACAAGTTATTACACCATTTCTTGTGATGCATTATTTGCAACTTAAAATATACTCTCCTCAAATTATCCTGTCAAGTATGTCATCTGTTCCAGTTGAGACTATAAATAGTGATAGTGATGATGTAAGGTTGTAACAGGGTAGTGGATAATGAGGGAAAAGTGAATGGCATTTAAATAACACTTTGAAGTTTATGCTGAAGAACTTCTATGAGCTGTCTGTCATCACTTAATTATCACAACTACCCTGTGGTAAAAGGATTTTTTTTGTCTGTTTCATTTCCAAATACCAACAATATCCAGTACAGATAGGGATTCATGAAATGCCTACAATCAGCAGGTTTAGTAAGCAAGACTTGACTTTTGTAGCATTGTTTATTTAGCATTTCTTCTGTTTTTATTTGGGGAAGCTATATTGAGATTAGGTAACTGTACCTCTCCAGATCACAGAGATTTAACAAAGAAAGCCATATGTGAATGACTTCCTTTTGCCTTCCCACAGGCAAACAAGGAACTTTGGGCTCCAAAGTCAAAGGTGCAATTTTTTAAAGAACATTTACACCAAGGGCTTACTTATTAGATCAGAGCCATCTTTAAATATCAGTTATGAGTTAAACCGATTAAAGGGAAAGGAGGGTAGATAAAATAAAGAGGAAGAATGGGGCTGTAGCTCAGGATGCTTGCCAAGGACGAATCCCCAGCAGCAGAAGCAGAAGCAGAAGCAGCAGCAGCAGCAGCAGCAGCAGCAGCACCACCACCACCACCACCACCACCACCACCACAAAAAAAAAAAAGGTAAAGATGAGTGTCAGTCTGTACATGCGCCTTCAATTTTCGAGATACTTCATAAATCACACATCTAGGACCCAAGTCTGCAAGATCACCAATTATACACACTCATAGACATAAAGCACAACAAAGATGGGTTTGAAAATTAAAGGAAGAAAAAAATATATTAATAAAAGAGGAAATATAAGATTGATAAGACACTCCATCAAATGCTTATGGTACAAGGAATAATCAAACCGCTATGATAACATCTTATAAAGACCTATAAATTAAAACATTACTTCCTTGGAAATGAGGTTCGCGGGCCAATATGAAGCAAAATGAGAACTCTATAAAGATTTTTCGGAAGCCAGAACTCCGTTTTCCTTATATTGCGTTGTACTCAAAAGCGAAGGAGAAAAATCAAGTTTACAAATCTGAAAACCAAAGAAGCTTCGAGAATACATGACTCAAACTGGAAAGCAAACCGGCAGGGAAGTGCTAAGGCAACAAGCGGGAGGGAGACCTGCTAGCTGCCAACACTGGGCCACGGAAGGTAGATGAACCAGCATCTCTAAGTGGAAGGTGGAGAAGCACTGGTATTGCACTTAGTGGAAGGAAGACAAAAACACAAAAGCACCGCCTAAGAGGCAGTAGCCTGGATCGACCTCAAACGAGGGGGGCCAGGTCAGTGCCACCAGGGAGAAGTGCGGGACTCACAGATCCGAGTCTACGGGCTGGGGAAAGGGCCATTCGCTTTCCCCATTCGGGAAAAGCGGCGTGAAAGGAGCTTCGCAGCCCCACCCCACGGCCGCAGCTCCTCCCCAAGGAGAACCTCGCGAGGCCGACCGTCGGGCTCGGGACCACGAGCTCGGGTGCCGCTCCTCCCGGGCCCCGCGGCGCAGCTCGGCCCCTCCGGGCCCCTCACCGAACGCTGGAGCTCCCCAAGCCAAAACGAGGCGCGCTCCTTCCCGCTGGGATCCGGGTCGTGGTAGAGCGCCTGCACGGCCTGGTACACGAGCTGCAAGGTCGGCTTGGCTCCTTCCATGGTGGCGGCGGCGGCAGCGGTGACGGCGACGGCTCCGATTCTTCTCCCCAGGTGTCGGCTGCTCCGCCTGCGCGCTTCCTCACTGACTTGGCCACGGCCGCTCCCTGACTGGCGCCATCTCCTCCTCTCCGGCCGTTACCAGGGCAGAAGGGTTCCCCGTGGAAGCTGGCCCCCTCGGAAACAGCCGAGAGATCGTATTAGGGTTCCTGGTCTTTTTTAACCCCCTCCCTCGATCTTTCCACTAGAATCCAGACTCCTGAATCCGAAACCCGCTGCTGGCTTCCTCTTCCTCAGGCTTGCAAGAGAAGCCTATTTCCGCACGGCACAAACCACGCCGTAGCCCTCAGCAGCGTTGAGCCGGACCGGAAGCGGCAATCCGGATGCCTTTGGCACACTTCCGCCTGGTGCGCCGCAAACGGCCTCCTCCCCGGCACGCCTCCCGTTGTCTCCCCGCCCCCTCCCGGAAGTGACCCTGAATAGCAGGAACCCTGGAAGGAGAGTGCCATGTGTACGTCTGTGTTTTACCTGTCACCAACGAGCCCTTTTCATTTCTTCCTTCCTTCCTTCCTTCCTTCCTTCCTTCCTTCCTTCCTTCCTTCCTTTCTTTCCTTCTTCTTCTTCTTCTTCTTCTTCTTCTTCTTCTTCTTCTTCTTCTTCTTCTTCTTCCCTCTTCTTCTTCTTTCCTCTTCTTCTTTCTTCTTCTTTCTTCTTCTTCTTCTCTTTTTTGGTGTCAGTCCTGGAGCTTGATCTTAGGGCCTGGGCTCAGTCCCTGAGCTTTTGTGCTCAAGGCTAGCGCTGCTTTACCACCTGAGCCACAGCTCCACTACGGCTTTTTGGTGGTAAATTGGAGCTAAGAGTCTCACGGACTTTCCTGCCCAGGCTGTCTGGCTTCGAATCTCGATCCTCAGATCTCAGCTTCCTGAGTAGCTAGGATTACAGGTGTCAGCCACCAGCACCCAGCTCAAAAGGAAAAATCTTTCCAACCCAAATCAGTCTCATTCTACTGCTTGAAATGCTCTTAATTCCAGAGTATACACTTAGTATCTATAAGGTCATTGTCACACTACATTTTTTGGGGTATGGCTTTCTTTCCAAATCAATATCAGTCTTAAAAATACCTCAATTCACAAAAGAAAATTAAAATCTTGGAATCTATACTGTGGAGAAAATTGGCACACTCCTGTAATCCTAGCTACTCAGGAGGCTGAGATCGGAGGTTCGCGGTTCAAAGCCAGCCCAGGCAGGAAGGTCCGTGAGACCCTTTTTTATTATTATTTTTATTGTGAAAATACTGTACAGAGGGGTTACAATTACATGGGCAAGGTAATGAGTACATTTCTTATCAAGCATTGTTGCCTCCTCCTTTGTTTCCCCTACCATCCCTTTCCATCTCCCACGCACCGACCACCCACCCCCGCACCCCGCACTCCAGGTCTGTGAGACTCTTATCTCCAATTAACCACCAGAAAACTGGAAGTGGTCCTGCGGCTCAAGTGGTAGATTGCTGTCCTTGAGGTGAAGAGCTAAGAGACAGCACCAGATCTAGAGTTCAAAGCCCAGGACTGACAAAGGGGGGGGGAGGGGAGGAAGGAAGGGAGAGAGAAAGAAAGATAGAAAGAGGGAAAGAAAGATTTGGTACAATAGATAAGGACATATTACAGGGTCTTTATTTTTTTTATTTTTTGGTCCGGTCGTGGGGCCTGAACTCTGGGCCTGGGCGCTGTCCCTCAGCTCTTCAGCTCAAGGCTAGCACTCTACCACTTGAGCCACAGTACCACTTCCAGTTTTTTCTTTTTTGTTTATGTGGTGCTGAGGAATCGAACCCAGGGCCTCAAGCATGCAAAGCAAGCGCTCTACCACTGAGCCACCTTCCCAGCCCTATAGGGTCTTTAATATGCCAGTCTTTTGCCCTAAAAAATAACTACTATGCTTTCTTTTCATGAACATTTACAATGTATAAAGCATTGTAGTTACATTTTTTTTCATCTTAACCTTGCCACAAAAGTCTTCATTTTTAAGAATGAAAACCTGGAAGAATGAAAGCATAGGGTTGGGCTGGGCATGTGGCTTAGTGGTAAATTGTTTGCCTAGCATGCATGAAGACCTGGGTTCAATTTCTCAGTACCACATACACAGAAAAAGCCAGAAATGGCGCTCTGGCTCAAGTGGTAGAGTGCTAGCCCTGAGCAAAGAGAAGCTCTGGGGCATGAACTCTGGGCCTGGGTGCTGTCCCTCAGCTCTTCAGCTCAAGGCTAGCGCTCTACACAGAGCCACTTCCGGTTTTTCTGGTGGTTTATTGGAGATAAGAGTCTCACAGACTTTTCCTGCTCGGGCTAGCTTTGAACAGCCATCCTCAGATCTCAGCCTCCTGAGCAGCTAGGATTACAGTGAGCCACCCGCACCCAGCTTAGATCATGTTTTTATCAAAGCCTGTCAAATAGTACAATCTCTATCATTCAACCGGGTTATTTGCTTTGGAGTTGTCAATTTTGAAATGCCAACTTTGTGATGAAAAAAATCCATGCTAGAGTTGCTATGATATCAGGCAAAGAAAAGAAAATATTTAAATTAAAATTTAATATTAAATTATAATTTAATATTTAAGCTACCTAACTCTCACTCATGAAAAAAGATGTATAAGATCACCTTATTCTCTGATGTCATGTTATTTGTAAAGAAAAGCATGCAATTCAATAGAGTATAAAAAGTTGTATAAATATCCACAAGCAAAAGAATTTCTAAAGCCATGCACCAATGGCTCACACCTGTAATCCTAGTTACTTAGGAGACTGAGATTGGAGGATCACAGTTCAAAGCCAGCCCAGGCAGGAAAATCCATGAGACTCTTGTCTCCTAATAAACATTAAAAACTGGGAAGTTGAGCTGTGATTCAAGTAGTAGAACACTACTCGAGCAAAAACAGCTCAAGAACAGTGCCCAGGCTGAGTTCAAGCCTCGGGACTAGCACAGAAGAATTTCTACTTCTACAAAGATCATAGTACCTAAATGTAAGAACTAAACCTATAAAACTCTTGGAAGAAGCTGGGCGCTGGTGGCTCATGCCTGTAATCCTAGCTACTCAGGAGGCTGAGATCTGAGGATCACGGTTCAAAGCCAGCCCAGGCAGGAGAGACCGTGAGACTCCTATCTCCAATAAACCACCAGAAAACCGGAAGTGGAGCTGTAGCTCAAGTGGTAAAGCACTTGCTTTGAGCTGAAGAGCTGAGGGACAGCGCCCAGGCCCAGAGTTCAAGCCCCACAACCGACCAAAAAAAAAAAAAAAAAACTCTTGGAAGAAATGGGCACCCCGTGGCTCACACCTATAATCCTAGCTACTCAGGAGGCTGAGATCTGAGGATTGAGTTCAAAGCCAGATAGAACAGGAAAAGTCTATGAAACTCATATCTCCAATAAACTGCCAGAAAATTGGGAAGTGGTGCTGTGGCTCAAAGTGGTAGAGCACTACCCTTGAGTGAAAAAGTTCAGGAGTCTGAATTATTTAGATGATTGCTGCACCTAGGAGTTTGAAACCAACCTAGGCAACATAGCAAGACCCTGTCTTTTATAAGAGAGAAATGCTGGAGGCCCTGCATTACACACAGGATGGGGTGGGCTGGGAGGGGGGATGGTCTATGACTAAAAATTATTAAAACACCACAAGAAGGGCTGGAGTGTAGCCCAGTTATAAAGCACTTGCTTATCATGTTTGGGTTTTTTTGGGGGAGGGGGTCCAGTCGTGGGGCCTGAACTCTGGGCCTGGGTGCTGTCCCTCAGCTCTTCTGCTCAAGGCTAGCGCTCTACCACTTGAGCCACAGCGCCACTTCCGGCTTTTTTCTTTTTGCTTATGTGGTGCTGAGGAATCGAACCTAGGGCCTTGCGCATGCAAGGCAAGCGCTCTACCACTGAGCCACCTTCCCAGCCTGCTTATCATGTTTGAAATCTAGGTTCAATCCCAGCACCAGAAACACAGACACTCAGACACAGCAGGGGAGAGGGAAATAGCCAGAGAGGGAGAGAGAAGGGGAGAGAAGAGGAGAGGCAAAAGGAGATGAGGAGAGAGGGAGGAGAAGGGGAGGGGAGGAGAGGGGTGGGGATAGAAGGGGAAGATGTGGGAAGTTGCTTTAACCAATAGTTGAAAAAAATAAAGTGATAGCTAAGCCAAAATGAAGGGTCTAGGAATGCTACCAGGAGACATTATTTCTATACTGAGTCTACACTGATAGATGAGTAGGAAGCACTTAGACAAAGAGCCAGTATTTCAGGCAGAGCTAACAAATATGTAAAGTCTATAGGTAAAAGAATGTATTTTAAAGACTAATAGAAAGTGCACACTAGCTGGAGGTTAGAGTTGATACTGAGTAGAAGCAAAAGAGTGTGGCTACCATGTCCCACATATCCCAGGCCAAGTCACTGCCTAACACATAATAAGCACACAGATATTCAGCATCCTTGTCTCTCAGGTTCCTTATACATTTCTCTTTAGAGAAATCATTCTAGCTGAAACACAACATGTTTGGGGCAGGGAAAGTGCCAAGGACAGGAAAAGAAACCATAAAAATTCTAAGGAGTGAGGCCTATTGTAAGATGTTGGTAGTGAGAATAGAGATACATGGAAGATGAACTTAAGACAGAGAATTTTGATGTGATTTTTGGTTTGCATGTTATTAGGGAAAAGAAAGTGAATCTAGGCTTCTGAAACAGAACACAGAAGAAAGATTTCATATGGGGAATGGTATAAAGGTGAAGATAATGAGCTGAATCTTTGCCTTTCTTGAATACTGAGGCAATGGGTTAGACAGCTAAAGTCAGTGGAGTATAGTCTGTATGAGACCTCAGTCTAAGGAGCTTAAGGAATAAGTTAAAGATACAAATCTGAGCAGTGTCAGTGGCTTATTGGTGGCTAAACACAATGGAGTGATTGAAATGAGCCAGCCATTAAAGCTTGGATCTGTCATGGGATGGCTCCCATGATTTGTGGTGTGACTCAGGTTACAAAAGTAAACTAAGCTGTGGTTCCACAGACAATCCTTTTGTGATGAATGAGCTATACCATTAACAGAGACCAACACATTTGTATGTTTCCACAACATCAGCATGGATTGCATATCAATAGATTCAATGCCTACATTAATTTCATAGGCTTTACTTTACCAAGTACTCCTGATTTCGCTTGGGATTGTGACCATAGCAATGGCAAGTTCTTTATTTCATGCCAATCTCTAAATTACTACTATCTATAGCTCTCAAATCCCACATTACACAATTTAGATTAGGTTATAGAAAGCTGAAAGGAGGTAAAGAGACTACAGGAGTTAAAGAGTAGGGTTAATACAAATAGCTAAAAGA